AGCTCGTCGGCGCTGGAAAAGGGCTATCTTCGTTGACGGCCTACACGTGCACGCAGAAGGATCGATTGTACAATCCCGCCTTCGACGCTACCTGCCCTTTGCTCGCTCGCTATGCCACGTAGCTATGGGGTGGTCGCACCTCGCCTTCTCAGTTGCGGGCGGCGTAGCAGGCCGTTCACACCCGTCTCGTGCGTAACGGATTCTGGCGCATGTGCTTCGGGCCGACCTTGGCCGTGGTCCTCTCATTTCGACGGATTGGCCGGGACATGGCGGCGCCCCACGTTCTGCTCTCGGACCGAGTCGAAGCTGTGTCTCTATGAGTTCTCGCCCTTTGAAGTCCGCGAGTTGGTCCGCGATGGAGTCGAGCGCTGGCTTTGGCACAGGATCCCTGCTCACTGGCCCGAGGCGTCTGGGTCCGAGGAAGGTTGGATTCGAGCGGTGCGTCTTGCTGTCCTGTACCTCCCAGCTGGTGCCCGCCAGGGGTGGGCGCGTGCTTTGCTTTCTGGTGGTCTCTGCCCCCTCGAGCGTAAGTTCCAGGCCGGGTTGTGTGCGTCTGGGAAGTGCACTTTTTGTGGTGCCGAGCGTGGGACGCTTGGCCACCAGCTGTACAATTGCGACTCGGCTTCCACTTCGCCCGACGTTGACGACCAGCAGCCGCCATTTCCTGAGGAGGTGTGGCAGCGAACGCAGGACCGTCGGGAACAGGGCATGTCTCCTCTTGGGGGCTCGGACTGGGATGTGGTTCCTCTCCTATACGGCCTCCCTCGTATCCCTATAAGGCTGCCGCCGCTGCTCCCGTAGCCGCCTGTCTTGTCTTGGGGCCTGGCGGGCTTGGCCCAGGGCCCTTGGGGCCAGTTTCTGTTCACGGACTGCAGCGGTCTGGCTGGCGCGTGTCCCGAGGTTGCATGGTGTGGCTGGAGCGTGGTGGAGATCACGGCTGATGGCTGGCCGATCCGAGCTAAGTTTGGAGGTCTCCCAGGTAGGTTTCAAACCGTTCCCAGAGGCGAAAGGTGGCCCGGCCTCGAGGCCATTCGCGTGGGCCCCCCCCCCAACGTCATTGTTGTGAGCGATCATTTGCGTCATGTGCGTGAGGGCTGCGCCTGGGACCCCCACCTCGAGCGTGGTCTTTCGCGAAACGACTCCATATGCAGATGGAGGGAAATGTCTAGAGCTTGTGAGCGGTCTAGAAGTAGACCGTCCTTCAGCTAGACGCCAGCGCACAGGTCGCTGGATGAGCTGGTTATGGCCAATTCAGAGCCAGATGAGCTCTGGAGATTCATGGGCAATGCATGGGCGGACTTTTTCGCCAAGCTCAGGGCTGTGGATGTGGCGGTGGCGGATGTTGCCGTCGAGGCTCTGACGAATGAGACGCGGAATTGCAAGCTCTCGTTCGACTTCCTGGCTCGGGTAGTTTAGCTGATATGTTCTCGGTCCGATGTGCAGTCGCTTGACGCCCCGCCTCCTCGGGCTAAGAAGCCTCCAGAAGATACGCTGGTGCTGATTGCGCACGGCCCAGCGCTTGTGGCTCCAGGCTCCGCGGCGGTGCAGTGCAGGTGCTGTTTGGCGGTGGCTAGGACTCCACCCAGTGTCAAGACGCTCTTGAAGCCAGGGGCCAAGTGTGACCCTCCCCCCATGCTCCAGGCCCTGGCCCAGGCTGCTGAGCATTTGGGGTGGAGGTCCCATGGTGCCGGGGATGTTGTGAAGTCTGCTGCCGCTGGCGCTGCTGGTGGGGCGGAGATCGGCGGGCTTCTCTTCGAGTGCGATGGCCATCGCGTCCATCGCACGGGCTCAGATTGCTCCTGCTTGTTGTGCGGGGCTCGGGTGGCGGTTGGGTCCACGAAGGTCGACGCTGGGGATTGTGTGCCTTCATGCCCCGCCCAATCAGGGACTGGCTAGCGGACGATAAACATCCTTCTAAAGGCGCAGTGTTGCGCGCCTGATGCTGATGCGCTAATTTTATGGTGGTGCCCTCGTGTGTCTCAGGCTGTGTCTCGTCTTCGGATGATTCATTGTCCTATGGCTCCGCTTGGATCTCGGTCTTCATTTCGTGTGGTCTTTATATCTCTCTCTCTGCCTCTCTCTCTCTCTCGCTCTCCTCCCCTATATTCCAGCAGAGAGAGGAGGATGAGCAGGGAGAGGAGGTTGTCAAAATCCTTGAAGGAATCTTGTTAAGGAGTCCTTACTCAGGAAGGCGCCATTTCTGAAGGAATACTTGCTAGGGAGTCCTGACTCATGAATCTTGGCCACTCGACCCTTACTAAAAAGAGTCCTCATGAGCGGAATCCTTGCTGAGTGAGTACTTCCTAAAAGGGGGCACGTCTAATCCTGAATCAACATGGGTGCACATAATCCGTACTGAAAGGACCCTTCCTGAGGAGTCCTTGCTGGGGAGATCCGTACTGAATGAGCAGTCCGTCGCGCAATGAATCCTTACTAAATTACGCATTGGTAAATGAAGCACCGCTACGGGGGTCTGTACTGAAGGAACCCAACCCGTACTTACTAAGGGGTCCTTACCACCGATGCTTATTCAGGAACTTGTATGGGAATAACCCGTACCAACAGAACGTGCACCAAAAATATGTCCTGGACACCGACATGAATTCTCAATGTGGGAGACCCGTACTCATGACTTTCCCGTACCAAGAAAACATTACAAGGAATGTCACAGAGGAGTTCTTACTAATGAATGTTCGCTAAAGGAATCCTCACGCAAGGATTCCTTACCGATGAATCCTTACTGACGGATTCCGTTGTAAAGGGAATCCAGTCAGGAACGCAGTATCAAAAGGTGTCCGTGCCAAAGAGCTTTTGTTTCCCTTGTCGTGGAAAAGTAGGACGCTGATCTCCAAAGCGGGCCAGGAGGGTGATGATGATGATGGAGTCGGCGAAGGAGGAGGAGGAGGAGGAGGAGGAGGAGAAGGAGGTTCCCAGAGGTTCCCCCCCAGCCGCGATGGCTGACTCTGTCTCTCCGCCGCGCATCGCCCGCGGCGGCCGCGGGGCGCTCTCGCGCACGGCGGCGCGCCTCCAAGGGCGGAGGGCTGCAGTCTCCTCCCTGGCCCCGCGCTCGACGCGAGGCTGGTCCTCCTCGCAGGCCCGCCCATCTCACATTTTCTCACAATCGTCTGCTGCACTTCTCACACTTCTCTTGCCAAATTTCCGTTTCAGCCACCGTCTGTGGTTGGCTTCGTTCTTTGCGTTGTAGTTGATGATGGTGGGCTTCGATTTGATCGCCCCCTTCCGCTTCGGCTCCATCGCTTCGCCTCCCGCCAGCCACTTGTCTGCGATCGCGGCCCTGGCCTTCCACATGGCCCAGCTCGCTTTCTCGGATCCAGCCGTGGCGACGAGGCGGGACGAGGAGTAGTTGGGGCTAGGGATATTAGGCTCTTGCTTCGCCTCTGCCTTCTTTTCGCATGCTCTGATCCCATCGCTGTAGCAGATGGCGTCGGGCTCTACCTTCGCCTCCCACTTCTCGCGCTCGCTGATCCAAGTGACTTGGATCTTCGCCTTCTGCTGCCACTGCCCGTCTTTCTCGCACTGCTCTCTCTTCTCGCACGCGCAGAGTCCGTCGGTGCGCGGCTTCCACTGCCCGTCCGCTGAAGGCTGCCCCGCCGCACTGTAGCTGAGGCCGTCTGGTTCGTCTTCTTGAAGCTGCCACTGCCCGCCTTGCACGCACTCGCCAGCCTTGCCCTCTTGAAGTTGCCACTGCCCGTCCTTCTCGCACGCACAGGGTCCTGCCTTCCTGGAGGCCCACTGCCCGTCTTTGTCGCACTGCTGCCACGGTCCGTCCTTCTCGCACGAGCTGGCCTCTCGTCTTGGAAGCTGCCACTGCCTGTCCTTATCGCACTTTGGCCCCTTCCTTTCTTGAAGCTGCCACTGCCCGTCTTTTTTGCACGCCACGCTGTAACTGGTAACGTCTGGCTCGTCTTCTTGGGGCTGCCACTGCCTGGCCTTCACGCACGCAGAAGCCTTGCCCTCCTGAAGCTGGCACTGCCCGTCTTTCTCGCACGCACAGAGTTCGGCTCTTTGAGGCTGCCGCTGTCCGTTCTTCTTGCACAACGCGCTGTAGCTGATGGCGTCTGGCTCGTCTTCTTGAGGCTGCCACTGTCTGCCTTCTTGAAGCTGCCACTGCCCGTCCTTCTCGCACGCATGGGTCCTGCCTTCCTGGAGCTGCCACTGCCTGTTCTTCTCGCACGCACAGGGCCCGTCTCTTTGAGGCTGCCACTGTCCGTCCTTATTGCACGCCGCGCTGTAGCTGATGACGTCAGGCTCATCTTCTTGAGGCTGCCACTGCCCGTCCTTCTCACACGCATGGGTCCTGCCCTCCTGAAGCTGCCACTGTTCGTCCTTCTCGCACGCACAGAGTCCGTCTCCTTGAGGCTGCCGCCGTCCGTCCTTTTTGCAGGCCGCGCTGTAGCTGGTGACGTATGGGTCGTCTTCTTGAGGCTGCCACTGCCCTTCCTTCTCGCACGCGTTGGGCATGCCCTCTTGAAGCTGCCACTGCCCGCCCTTCTCGTGCGCCTGCCACTGTTCTTGAAGTTGCCACTGCCCGTCCTTCTCGCCCGCTGGTTCCTCCGCGTAGGCCTGCATCCACTGCCAACCCCACCACGGCTCGTCGGTCTGCGGGTCGACAAACGGCATGACGTACTCCCACATCATGGCGCAAGTCACGAAGGGCGAGGCGTCGGCGTTCAGGCTGCAACCGTCTCGTTTCGCTGGGGGCTGCACCTTCGCCGCTTCTGCCTTCCACTTCTCGACTTCCCTTCGTAGCTTCTGCACCAGCCTGTCCGCGGAGGCGCGAGCTCCAGCAGCGCCCCGCACAGGCTCCCGTCGCGCCGGCGCCGGCGGCGCTGGGGGAGCAGCACCGAGCAGGGAGGAGGGCCGAAAGCCCGCCATACCCATCCAATCTGGCGCCCTTCCTCCATCCCCACCGGCCCTCCCCTCTCGCTCTCGTATTCCCTCCTCGACTCCTCGCCCCCGCGCTCCCCCTTTCCGCGCAGCGCGGCGAGCGGGTGCTGCAGATGGGCGGCCACACGGGGGACGTGAACTGCGTCGAGTTCCACCCCCGCCAGCAGTGCATGGTCAGCGGCCTCGAGGGGGGGGGGGTCGCCGCCGCCGCCCTCGCACCACCGGTGGCCTCAGGCTTGGGTTGGCACGCAACCCTTCCCTCCCAGGGGACAGCCGATGCCATAGGTGTCAGGGCGCCGGGCGCAACGGCCGATCCCAGGGGTCTGTGCCGTGCTCTGAGGGGCTGGGCCGGACCGCTTACTCAGAGCGCCCAGCTGGCGGCATTCCTGGCCCGCAGGAGGAGGAGAATCAGGAGGAGGAGGGATCGGAGGCGACAATGGGGCGAATAGCCGAACAGCCTAGAGGAGACGAATCCATGCATCCAGGCGCGCCGATGTTCCACGTCTTCGGGGAGGCTCCCGGGCGAACATGTGTAATGCCCGCCCCTAGGCTATTCGCCCTTTCTCTTCGCCCCCGAAGGAAGGGAGGTTGGCTCGAGCCTGGTTCAAGTCAGGCCCCCGCATGTCGTTTCGCTGTCAGGCGGTTGTGGTGGCTGGAGTGTGCCGTGGCGGTGGGCGTGGCTGCGCACAATCTGGAAATGGCTACGGGAGTCCAGCGCAGCATTCCGATTCGTCGTGTGTCTGGTTTGGAGCCAGCGGCGAATCTGCCAGTACCGAGTTGAAGCAGCAAGGCTTCTGCTCGGATGTGTGTTCCAGCTCTGTTGAAAATTCGGCCTTGAATCGGTCAACGGTTTGGCCAGCAGATCGGTTCGACAAAAATGCCGAGTTCTGTTTCAAGGTAAGTCGTCTTTGGTGTATCGAACATCCACGCCATCGTATCCAGCAGCCTGTGCTGACAAGGACAGGTTGGCAACCCGCAGTGGCAAAAAGGGGGAGAGTATCCTTCCCGCTGGCACCTGCGGGCTTGAATGTCGTAGCGCCTCCGGCAAGATGCATGAGCTTTCGCAGGGACGCCTCGGGGTTCTCACGATCGACCTCGCTTTCTCTTGGCTGCGGAATCTCCAGGGGCCCATCGATGAAATAGGGGGCCCTTGATTCATGCCCCCCCACCAGGCCCAATGCTCGCCCCCCCTTTGATCATACCATTTGCCTTGTCTTCGATGTGTTCTCTCGCGCTGGGTCGCAGTCCCTCTCTACCCTCAGGAGGGAGATGGCGAGGAGAAGGGGGGGCAGGAGGAGAAGGAATAACTATATGATATGAGTGGGAAGGAAGAGGAGCTAGATCAGACGAGTGCGATCCCAACGGAAATGACGATGATGATGGCGGTGACGATGATGATGATGATGATGATGATGATGATGATGATGATGATGATGATGATGAGGAGGAGGAGGAGGAGGAGGAGGAGGAGTCATTAATAAGGAATCCTTAATAAGGAATCCGTACTAAGGGATCTTGAATACGGCATCCTTAATAAGGAACCTTTGCACAAGGAATCCTTCACGCGAAATCTGAACTAAGGAATATGTGCCAAGGAATCCTTGCTAAGGAATATTCGCGACGGAGTCCTTAGTCAAGTTTTTTAAAGGAATTCTTACTAAGGACCCTTAATTGAGAAATCCGTAACAAAGAGTCGTAAATAAAGTACCCTTGATAAGGAATCCGAAACTTACGAACCCTTCGAAAGGAATCTTGAATAAGGAATCCTTACTACGGGATCCTATGTAAGGAATTTGTCATAAGCAGTTTTCGAGGTATCCTTCATAAGGAATCGTAGGTGCGGAATTACTACTCAGGAATATGTCATGCAGCGCCGGTCCATGTTGTACCCGGTTATTGTCCTATTGCTCATGATTTACATCTGTGGAGGAGTTGCGATGCTTTCAAAGGACATCGGATCAAAGACAGGCACGGCACGAGAGGCCTTGCTCAATGCTTCCAACTTCGGCGTGTTCATCACTCGGACCAACACCGCGGCGGCCCTGCTGGCGAGCGCTGTCCTCTTCGGTGGGTTCGCAATGGACTTCATCGGAGCAACGGCGATATTGATGTCTATTCTGTCCCAAGCGATTCGGTCCTCCATGTTCAACACGCCGGTCGTCATAGCTCCCACGGTTCAATGGCTAGCCGAAGCCGTCGGTTGGCAGATTATGGCCAGCTCCATATTGAGGAAACAGTGGACCGACGGAAAGTGGACATCGGTCCAGATTGTGAAGGTCGTGTGGGCAGGCATCGCAGCAGCGGCTACGAAAACGGGTGCTGCCAGGAAAGCTCTGGACGCAGCGCTGGGAAATGTTGTCAACGGGCTCAAGATCTCACACTCTCCTCAAGCGATGAATCACGTGGCAGGTGTGTTCTTTGAGGCACGACTGTTGCGATTCCTCGCGGAGGGCATAGCTGGTCCCGAGCTCTTGAGCATCCGATGGGATCCGACCACCCGCGAAGGCCTCAACCGCGTGGTGGCGGACGCTTATTTCCGTGGCATGCGGAATCCGAATGTCGAGAAGAGCGCGCAGACGACGGCAGTGCACATCATGCGGGGCCGGGCCGCGGCGAGTCTGAATAACGCTGGACCACACGTGATGGTTCCAGCGGTGGCTCTTGCGACTGGGGAGGTCGTGGGCCTTGCGGTGGCTGGGACAGGAGAGCTTGACGATCCCATGCTCGAACGTGTGGCTCGAGCATGCGCGGCCGCCGCATCACCGACCGCTGCAGTGCAGTCCATCGGAAACACCGCGTCGTGGTTAACATCCGAGGACTACACCACCAAGGTGCTGCTCGTGCAGGGGTTGCTGGCATATGACACCGCAAACCCGCGCACTGAGTTGAATGTGAACAACACATGGTGGTTCGACGGAACATTGCTGCGCAGGCCCACTGCAACGGAACTCGCTGGTTCATGGAATGCGCCGATCGAGACCCTCGCCGCTGGCACTGCCTTTACATGGGCGCTCGTGGCAGCCCTTCCGCGTCGTTCGTGGGGTTCGGCACTCCGACTGACGGCCAGTTCGCTGCGTGGATGGTCGCCAGCCCGCGCGCGTTCCTCGGCGGAACGCCGCTCGCGAACCCCGTCGCCATCACTGGGCTGCAGACCGTCCAGTTGCACGTGGAGGCCTCAAACACGCTCATCGACCACGAGAAGCGGATATCGGGACTTCCAGAGAGGTTCGTAGGCCTCACGCGCTATGCGCCGCCAGGGCCAACCATCCGCGTGGAGGACGCGAAGGTGGTCACGGACCATTTCCGCAATGAAGGCGTCACCATCTGCTGAGAGCAGAGGTGGGGCACCTCCCGTGTACGCGCAGGAGGGTAAGACCCAGTCAGTGGCTCGAGCGTAGCTCGCCAAAGGTCTCCCCATCCAGAAGGAGGTGATCGTCGCACCTCATTGGAGCTCGATTTCGTTTGCCTAGCATAGTTTTGATTTGCTAGGCCTTGCCCACCCTCTCCCCAAATCGATTGTGCGTCGGGCGTTGTGGACGAGGACCCGCGCCGTGCCCGCAGCTCCACGTCCGTTCGCGAGGTCGCGTCGAGCCCATCAAGCCTTTCCTCACCAGCGACCGCGAAGGAAGCAAAAGAAACAATAATTTAAAACCAAATAAAAATAACATAATCCAAACCCCATTTTTATATATATTCATACAAAATACCCAGGAGTATGCACCAAGGGATCTTTACTAAGGAATCCTGATTAAGGCAATCTTACTGGGGAATCCTTAATCAGGAATCCTCCATGTCGAATCCCCACTAAGGAGCCCTGAACTAAGCAATCCTTGAAGAGGAAAATGCACTAGAGAATCCGTCATAATGAATCCTGGATAAGGGTTTCTTGACTCAGGAATCCTGGAATATGTACGGAGGGGTTCGTATCAAGAGATATTCAGTAAGGCACCCTTATTAATGAATCTGAATGAAGAAGTCCTTAACATGGAACCGTTAATCCGGACTTCTTCATAAGGAATCAAAACTACGGCATCCCGAATAAGGAATATTGAGCACATAATCTTTTATGCCGAATATTCAATAAGGAATATTGAATTTGGCATCCTTACCAAGAACCCCTTAACAAGGGATCTTTCCTCCAGAATCCTTCATGCGGAATCCCTGCAAAGGCATCTTAATCAAGGAGCCTTGATGAAATATTCTCCCACAAGGAATAGTTATCAAGGAACATTGGGTACGGAATCCCTGACAAATAATCTTTACTTAAGAGTACTAGTAAGGAACTCGCTGTACGAACTCTGGTATAGAGAATCGCCAAGGAAGCCTCAATAAGCAATCTCGACTGAGGAAACCCTACTAAGGAATATGTATTAAGGAACCCTTGCTACATAATATGTATTAAGGAATCCTTGCTAAGGAGTCTTTGTTAGGAACCCTTCATGCGGAGCCTGAACGCAGGAATCCTGAAGCGCCAGGCGTCCTCACCCTCTGTTCAAGAAACGCTCTGTATGCTTCGTGAGTTGGGTTGTTTTGGTCTGGGATGCAAGGACACATTGTGTAGTATTGCTGTTGTGTTTGACGGTTCAGAGAGAAGTGCTGCGAGAAAGGCCGCGGCGAGAACCTGGACCTGCAAACCGCAAAAAGAAACACACACAGCGGAAAAGCAAACCAACATGAACATCCTATATATATATATATATGTACATACATTGTGTAACTTTATTTATTTTGGTTGTTTTGGTTTGTGATGCAATGTAACATTGTTTTGGTTGTGGTTTAGCAGGCTCAAAGAGAAGTGATGCGAGAGAGGCAGCGGCGAGCACTGGGGCCTGTAAAAACACAAAAAAAAAACAATACATATTTCGTGATTGCACCAACCAAGAACATATTGAACAAACAAACAAACAGCGGTTCCTTGCTCCAAGGGCGCCTATTACTGTTTTTTTTGTTATGTTGGTTTTGTAGGTTCAGAGAAGTGCTGCGAAGGAGGCCGCGGCGAGCATTGGGATGGGACCTGGAAAACGCCCTCCAAAAACAACGAACATACACAGTGTGTCGTGGCTCCACAAACCATTCACTTCGTTGTTTAAAAATGTTTCCTTGCACTGATGGCGCCAAGCGCTGTTTGGTATTGATTCTGTATTGCAACAGAGAGGAGGAGGAGGAGGAGGAGGCGGAGGAGGAGGAGGAGGAGGAGGAAGAGGAAGAGGAAGAGGACAGGGGGAGGAGACAGGAGAGAGAGGAACACGAGGAAGAAGCAGAGAAACAGAGAGACCCAGTTTGAGTTTTTTGTGGTAATCCTGGAGACGTCGGGCGGCGTCCTGGAAGCCTTCTGGTGCTCTCTTGGAGCGGTGTTCAAAGATCTTGGAGCCGCGTTGGGACCACATAGCCCCTTCGAAGGTGCAGGCGCAGCTCGTAAGTACAAGCATTCGAATCACGAGGTCGCTATAAGATTTTGATGTGTGGGGGCATCATTGGGGGGCTCCGAAGCCATTAGGAAACGTTCTGCAGGCATGTCTTGGATCCCTGCAGGCGTACTCGACGCCGCATCGGTCCAACTTCGGCGATAGCGCACCAGATTGGACGCAACTTGGGGGATTTTTGGGCCATCTCGGAGCCACCGCGGTCGGCGCGAACCATCCTTTCCGAGCCCCGGTTCCGAATGCGGGCTCGATGGCGCCAAGTTGGAGCCGAGTGCTCCCCACTCGGAGTGCCGCCGGCCGCCGGGGATTCCTGTTCCACCCCACTCCGGTTTTCGAGCGAAGCACGGAGAAACATCTGCACGTGATGAGGCGGCTGCTATCCCTCTTTGTGCTACTCCACGTTTGTACAACTCCCTGGCCAGAGTACGTCGCCAAGGAACCGCCTCCTGAGTGGCTGGCGGAGGAACGAAACGCGTCAAGGCATGCGTTTCGAAGGAGGCCGCGCCGTGCCCCCACGCAAGCGCGACTCCCTCACAGAGTAAGCCACTGAGGCAGAGGAAGACGCAAGCGGACGGGAGAGCGACGACGTCGATGGCGGAGGTGTTGCAGGGGGAGGAGGATAGCAAGAGTGCCGCCCAAATTGGAAAGTTGGGAAAGGCCCTCGTAATATTCTCGTCCCCGTCTCTGCATCCGAACACGATGACGACGACGACGACGACGAACATGAAGACGATAACGATGACGGCGACGACGACGACGACGCCGGTTGCGACGTTCGCGCAGACTGGGTCGACGGCTAGGGAGGCTCGGATGACGGGACGGCCAAGATCTGGGACCTGCAGAACCTGTGCGGCACGGACTGCGCGCCATCGCCGTCGTCGCTGCCGTCGCCGCCTCCGCCGTTGTCGTGAAGTCGTCGAGTCGTCGTCGGAGGACGGCGGGGGAGCTGGGACGAGGAGGATGAAGGGGGAACAGCATGCAGGAGGAGAGGAGGGGATCGGTATCTTTCCCAAGGCGGGGCGGCACTTGGGGGGAGGGGGGACGCGAAGCGGCAGTGGGAGGGGGGAGGATGAGGAGGACGAGGAGATCGAGAAGGAAAAAAAGGAGAAGATGGAGGAGGAGAAAAAGGACAAGGAGGAGGGGGAAAACGACAGGGAGGAAGCGATGTGGGGGATAATAAGGAGGACGGGAAGGCGCAGGCGGAGCGGGAGAGGGCGGGCAGATGGGAAGAGGTTGAAAAGGAGGGATGAGCAGAAGATGCGGTGCAGTCGGACAGAGGTCTAAGATCGAGGTCGGCTCGGGGAGGATACCCTAGTGTTCTTCGTGTTTGTTGGATTCTCTTGTGCGGAGGCCCTTTGGATGTTCGGCGTGTGGTTTGGCCCGCTGAGGGTCTCATGTTCTTGAAGGATGTTATTTTAGTTTATGTCCGGCTGTACAGGCGTTTTCCATGTTCATCTTATCATCCAGACGAAGCAGGGACACCCTACTGGGGACCGGCACGCCTGAGCGGGTGCAGCGTAGATGTCGTGATCGCGACCGCGAGCGTTGCCTCGCCGCCATCGCCGTCACCGCCGCCGCCGTCAGCTTCTTATCCACAGCGATGCCTTCCGTAGCCATATTGTCTCTTTGCTGATTTCCATCTTCTGATACCGCGTGTGGGCAAAGGACAGAAAGCGGGGCGCCCTTTCTGGGTTCGGTCACCTGGTGGGCGAGATGGGCGTGCCAGTGAACCGTCGCAACGTCGACCTCTTGAACGCAGGCTTCGATGCTTTCCGCGCCCAGGTGGCTGCTGCCTGCTCCGCGCAAGACTAGCGAGGACGCGCGGTCCCCAACCACCGCTCTGTTCCGCCCCCGCCAGTGCCTGGAGCTCAGGGCGGGCGACTCGGCGCAGGCACCGCAGGCGCGCCAAACCATACGGTGCAGGCATCGCCCCGCCATAGCGGCGCTGTCGCTCGCACCGCGGGCGCTGTCTCTTCATCAGTGCAATCGCTGCGCGTGTTTCGGCGCAGGCACCGCAAGTGCGTCAAAAAGTTCAGCGAAGGCATTGCCCCGCCATCGAGTTGTCAGCGCTGGCGACGCGGGGGCAATCGATTTATTTGCGCGGGCGCGGCGCCTGTTTTTACAAACCGCCATGTCTTTTATCCAGCGCAGGCGCCGCCCATGGTGAAGCGTAGGCATCTTTGGCACGTCAGAGAAAGAGGTGCAGGCGTCGCCCTGTTATTGCAAGCGCCGGCGCGAGCACTCCCGATCCTGTTTTCTGTTATCGGCACAGGCGCGCCACCCCGTTTGGGGAAGGCCGCGCGACTCTCACACTTCCTTCGCGCCATGCCCCTGACGGGGCGCGGCGCTTTCAGCGGGGCGAGCGCGGGGCGAGCGGGGCGGGGGGCGGTTGGAACACTGAGTACGACCTCGAGAAGCCGAGCGAGCAACGCAGGGCCGCGGCGGCGGGGGCTCGCGCGCGCCATTCCGCAGGCAACGCCAAGTATGTGCGTCGGCCCATGGCGCGCTTCTGACAGGCATGGAGGCATGGCGGCACCGGTTCCACGAGTAAAATATGAACGCGCCCGCAGGCGCTCTGTCGCCATCCCGCTGAAGCATCGAAGACGCCTACGGCGAATCACCGCCGCCCCCTGCCTTTTTGGAAGCGCCTATGTGGCCGAACGTTGAGGCCAGACCTGCCAAGCTATCGGACCATGTGTTCCCCGAATCGGTTTGGAAAGCCTTCGGGGAACACGTGGGCATCTTGAAGGTCATCTTGGCCGTCTGGAGGCAATTTTAACCCTTTCGGGCTTTCTTGCAGGACGTTTTGGAGGGCTCTTGGGCCGTCTTGGAGGCCATCTTGGGCCGTCTTGGGGCCTGTTGGGGCCGTGTCTTGGGCCTCTTGGGCGATCTTTGGGGGCGTTTGGGCCGTCTGGGGCCGTCGGAAGGCAGAAAAAACGCAAATGCCACAAGCCTTCAAGAACCCGTGGAAAATCTATGATTTTGGCCTTTTCGGGCCTTCCTGGGTGCCCTCTTGGAGGCCTCTTGGGCCGTCCTGGGTCATCTTAGGGCCATGTTCGGCCGTCTTGGTGGGCTCCTGGTCCGTCTGACGCCGTCGGAAGCCGTGTGGGGGGCCTCTCTGAGCCGACTTGTGGCCCTCTTGGAATGCTCCAGGGCCGTCTTGGAGGCCATCTTGGGCGTCTTAAAGGCCTCCTGTGCCATCTTGGGGGCCTCTTGGGGCCGTCTTGGGGCCCTCTTGGACCGTTCTGGGGCCATCTTAGAGGCCTCTTGGGTGATCTTTCGGCGATCTTTGGGGGCTCTTGGGCCATCTCGGGCCGTCGGAAGGCCGAAAAGAAGAAAATGTCACAATCCGTCAAAAACCTTAGGAAAATCAACGTTTTTGGCCTCTTCTGGCCTTCCTGGAGGCCCTCTTGGGGGCCTCTTGGGCCCTTTTGGGCCAGCTTCGGCCATCTTGGTGGGTTCCTGGCACGTCTGACGCCGTCGGGAGCCGTCTTGGGGGCCTTTCTGGGCCAACGGGGGACCCTCTTGGGGCGCTTCGGGGCCGTCTTGGAGGCCATCTTGGGCGTCTTGGAGGTCCTCTTGGGCGTGTTGGAGGCCTCTTGGACCGTCTTGGGGCCCTCTTGGGGCCGGCCTGGACGGCCACTTGGGCCGTCATGGGGCCCTCTTGGGGGCCTTTTGGACGATCTTGGGGGCCTCTTGGGCCGTCTTGAGCCGTCGAAATGCCGAGAAGAAGCAAATTCCAAACTCCTTCAAAAACCTAAGGAAAATCAATGATTTGGGCCTCTTCGGGCCCTCCTGGAGGACCTCTTGGAGGCCTCTTCGGCCGTCTGGGAGGCCTCTGGGGGGCCTCTTGGGCCGTTTTAGGCCGTCTTGGACTCTCCTGGGCCGTCTTGGAGGCCGTCTTGGATCATCTTGGGCGGACTTGGAGGCCATCTTGGATCATCTTTGTCGGACTGGCAGGCCATGTTGGACCATCTTGGAGACCATCTTGAGCCGTCTTGGGGGAAAAATTGGGGAATTGAGGTCCGTGGCAATCCTCCCCGGACCCCGGCGGGGCGCGCCGGAGCCCCGGAGGAGTTTTTTCACCCCTGCGATGAATCGACAGAGAGCGGCGGATCGAAGACGCCTACGGCGAATCACCGCCGCCCCCTGCCTTTTTGGAAGCGCCTATGTGGCCGAACGTTGAGGCCAGACCTGCCAAGCTATCGGACCACGTGTTCCCCGAATCGGTTTGGAAAGCCTTCGGGGAACACGTGGGCATCTTGAAGGTCATCTTGGCCGTCTTGGAGGCCTCTTGGGCAAGCTTTGGGCGATCTTTGGGGCTTTTTGGGCCGTCTCGGGCCAGCTTCGAGCCAACTTCGGCCATCTTGGTGGGTTCCTGGCACGTCTGAAGCCGTCGGAAGCCGTTTGGGGGGCCTCTATGGGCCGACTTGGGGCCCGCTTGGAATGCTCCAGGGCCGTCTTGGAGGCCATCTTGGGCGTCTGGGAGGCCATCTTGGGCGTGTTGGAGGCCTCTTGGGCCCTCTTGGGGCCCTCTAGGGGCCATCTTGGAGGCCACTTGGGCCATCATGGGGCTCTCTTGGGGGCCTCTTGGGCGATCTTGGGGGCTTCTTGGGCCGTCTGAGCCGTCGGAGAGCCGAAAAGGCGCAAATGCCAGAAATCCTTCAAAAACCAAGGGAAAATCAATGATTTTGGCCTCTTCGGACTCTCCTGGAGGACCTCTTGGAGGCCTCTTGGGCCGTCTGGGAGGCCTCTGGGGGGCCTCTTGGGCCGTCTTGGGCCGTCTTGGACTCTCTTGGGCCGTTTTGGAGGCCGTCTTGGACCATCTCGGGCGGACTTGGAGGCCATCTTGGGCCATCTTCGCGATTGTTTGAGGATGTCCCGAGCGAAACGGCCGTTTTTGGGCATTGACAGACGCATTTTGGGAAATTTACGGGTGGCCGGCGGGACGGGCCGAAGCCCACTGGGGAGTTCTTTTAGAAAAAGAACCAAAACCAAAACCTGAATCATGCAGCACGCCGTGCACCCCTGCAAGCAGGGGGCGGCGGATCCAATGGGCCCTCGGCCCATCCCGCCACCGTGCTTGGATTGTGGGCCAGAGTCGTCGGGGAAGCTTTTTGGTGTCTCTTCGGAGCACTTTCGGGTGCCTTTTGGGGCAGTTAAACTGGGGTCTCTGGGGGGCCTTTCTTGGGCGCCTGTTGGGAGCCTTTCTGGTGCCTGGGGTTTCCTGGGGGCCTCTGCGGGGCTCTGGGGCTTATTGGAGGCCTTTTGCGACCTCCTGGGGGTCTGTCGGTGCAGAGGCTCGAAATTTCCGTTGGGGTCCCCCGTCCGGGTCTCCTCTCAGGGCCGTTTTGGTGGCCTTTTGGTCGCCCTGGAGGCCTTTTGAGCCGTTTTGGTGCCATGTTGTGCCGTTGTGGTCCAGTTGTATTGGACACCTCTTGGGTGCCCGCCTCCGCTGGAGCTTCGGGAAACTGGAAAGGCGAGAACACCAAAGCCCTTCAAACATCAAGTGTTGATCAATGATGGTTGCGTTGGGGCGTCTCAGAGGTTTGTTGGGCCGTGTGGAGGCTATCTTTGGTTTCTTGGACCGATGGGCGATTCGGGGCCCTCTCGCACCGTGTTGGGGGCCTCTCGGGGCCCTCTTGGCTCGTCTGGGGGCCCTTTAGGACCCGAAACGGGACGCGACAGGCCGCCCTGGACCGCGAGAGGTTTGGCACTGTGGTGGCAGGGCCCCTAAGAAGCCTTGGTCCAGAGGACTGGGGATTACAACGTAAGGGACCTGAGGGCACGCCCTGTCCGTGCCCGGATGGAAGTGGCGGGCTTTCTGTCGTTCGACCGGGGTGTCCTACAGGATTGG